CTGCTCCAGCTCTTTCAAGCGAGCTATCTCCCGGTATTGCCTCTTATGGCTCTCCATGAGCATAAAGGCACTATGCAGAAAAAAGGAAAACAAAAATCAGGCAAACGACTCTACACGGACGACGAGAAATACAACGCATAAGGAAGGTAACTTACTTGGACGAGGAGGTCCATGCCGCCCTCGTAGATATTCACGTCCCCGAGCTTCCTCAGGTAAGCCCGATCCTTGGCCGGCATGGCCTGTGCCAGGACGTCATGGCCAAGGACGACGTCATCGAAGACACCCCCGCCGACGGGGTATTCTACCATCTTTTGGTAGGTGGCACCTGCAATCTCTTTGCCGGCCCTCTTCGTCCGTGGCTCCTGGACGAGAGGCAGTGATGGAGCAGCATCACCAGCAGCAGTAAGGTCCACGACAGGACCACTATCGTCCACACTGGGGACAGCCAGAGTACCGGCCTCAGTAGCCAGAGAAGGGGAAGGAGCCCTTTTCGTCTTTTTCGAGACGCTCAGGCCGGCCTCAGTTAACTTTTTCTGGCCGTCAGTGGCCGGCCTTTTCTTCTTCGCTGGAGCGGGCTTTGGGGCCGCATCAGCAGTAGCCCCGCTCCCACCGGCCGCGGCACGTCTGGCCGCCTCGGCCGCCTTAGCAGCCAGCTCCTCGGCCGCTTTGGACTTGGCAATAGCCATTATGGAACGCCGGTCCATGGCAAAATCTACAAAGGAAAAACATAACAGATTAGTAAGGCAAAGGACAAAACATAAAGACAGAAAGCCGAAGAAAGAATTACCATCGGCCTCAGCAGGAATGCCCAAATCCGGGCCGTCGACCTCTTCAAAGGTGGTGGTCATCCTCGGCCAGAGTTGGAGGTCATCCTCCTTGTCACCATAGACATGGTACCTCAAGAAGCCGAGGGCGGCCATCTTGTATTCAGTAATGTAATCCTTCACGCTCCTCGGCCCCCCTTCCAAGAAAGCCTTCACCTGAGCGTCCAAAATAGAGCTCTTCGGCGGGTCGTGCAGGTTAAACCTCCCGGTGTGGCCGAGGGAGGGAAACTCGGTGCCACTCTCACCAATGGACACAAACACGAACTTGCTCTTCCACCCATGAATGGACGTAGGCAAATCCGTGAAGCTCCTCTTCTTCGGCAGCTGTTGAAGAGTAGCATAGGCCGCACAGTTCTTGTGGCTTCCTCGGCCGATCTGGTACAAATTCATGAATAAGGCCGTTGTCGGCCTGTAGCCCAACTCCTCACACCGGAGCAAAAATCCCACCATCAAGGAGTAGCTGTTCGGCGTCAGCAGGGCCGGAGGAAGCCCTACCATGTCCAGGTACTCAGTAACGAAAGGGTGAAGGGGGAACCTCAACCCCTTAGCAAAACTCATCGGGTATACTCCAAAGTATCCCGGTGGTGGAAGAAGAACATGGTCCGTCGGCCTGGGTGCCCTAACCCGCCCGAACGGCCCCACATACATCTGGGCAACAAGATAGTCGGCCGCACTGCTCTCCGGCTTGATCAGGTAGATGCTGGTGAGATCCAGGTAGGAGATGCCCGGCCCACTCTTCGGCCTCCTCACTCTCTTCGGCTTAGCTGCTCCCTTCACGACAGACACCGGCCTCGGGCACGGAATGACAGCAGAAGTGGACGCCCCGTCCACCACTCGGGACGCACCTACGTCCTCACCCTTTGAAGAGGAGGCGGACTCCTCGTCCTCGCCTTCCTCGTCCACCGGCTCTCCGGATTTGTAGGGACTTAAACGTTCTATCTCCTCTTCAAACTCCTCGAGCACCTCGTAGTCAAGCGACCTCGTGGAGGGCTGGTCGTCGTAGGGGTAGTAGTCTTCGTTCAAGCTCTTCATAACTACTACTACGGGCCTAAGGAGACTAACTTAAGATCTAAGGGTGTTCAAACGCCTAACACTAGATCAACAACCTAGGAAGCAAAGTATGAAAAGTGAGGAAGATCGCGATGAACACTAACCTTGAACAACGAAGAACACGAAGAACAGGCTAGGGAGTTTATCTCTCTAGAAAATCGGCCAGCACTTCGACAAATTCAGAATGCAAATACGTTTTCTCGTCGGAGGGGGAGGGGTATTTATAGAACCCCCACCCAACGGTCACTACACGTGGCACCCCCCCAATGGCCACACCAATGGCCACCAATGGGGGACCACCACGTCACCAACGGGCCAAACTCAATATCAACAGCCCACTGGCAAGACGGACTCTACGGCCTACACACGCTCACCGGCTTTACAAATGCCAGCAAGCGCCCACAACGTCCCACTTGCTCGCCAAGATCACAACTGCCAAACAATAAGGAGACAGCAACGACCAGGAACGTAACGGCCACAAGATCAAAGGACCCAAGAGCCCACAAGCCATCGGCTCCTCGTCATGACCTTTGATGATAACTCTCTACAAGCGATCTGCGCACAAGGGTTCTCCCACAGGGTTACCTTGGCCAGAAAATCGCCATGAGAGTTGGATTCAGGGGGACTACGGAGAGGCCGCTTCGGCCAGGGACTCGAGCAACTCCTTCACCCCTCACACTCCTCGGCCTGAAGCAGTGGGGGACTGGGGGACTACACCGGCCTCAGCAAAACAAAAAGGAAACGCTACAAAGAACATGAATGTGACCACAAAGCATGGCCACATCATCCATACAGCACAACGGAACTTCATCGGTCAAAGGCCCATAACGTCATTAGCAACGGCCAACAAGCCACTAGAGGCAAGGACACTCATCGTCCTCCGCCAACAATTAATCTTGACGGGCCCTTCGGCCAAGAACACGAAGGCCAACTAGCAACGGCCAAAAGGAGTGTGCAAACACCCTCATCGGCCACCCAAAGGAAAGGACGCCATCGTCCTCAAAGCAAGGAACAACTTCAGTGGCCTCGTCGGCCCAAACACAAACTTCAACCATCAGCGCCCAAGCAAAACGTGCCTTCAACGGCCACCATTGAAAGAAGGACACTCATCGTCCCAAAACGAAGACATCAAGTAAAAAACGGCCTCCCTGTCCACAACGAGGAACAGGTAACGGCCAAGGGCAACAAAGCACAGGAATCTACTCTCCTTCACTTCGTCTACGTCTCAGCTTAGAGAGTGGGGGACTCCTGATGGAGTATATGGGTCTGAGCCCCCGAACCCACATACTCGGAAGAACAGAAAGCACAAGACAACAGAGTGGCGCCCTCGTCGGCCAAGACGCCCCCGTCGGCCGAGAAGGGGCCAACTCGGATTATGGTCCTGAGCCCAAGGAACCCGGGTGCCCTCGTCGGCCGTGCCCTTGTCGGCCACGCCCCCGTCGGCCAAGAAGACCTCCCAGAATCGGATTTTACACTTACTCATTCGTACGGCCCATTAGTGGCTTTGTATCCGGCCCAGTAGCGGTCCAGTTGTAAATGGGCCTCCCAAGCCCAAGGCTTGGGAGCCCAACCCTAATTTTCTCTATAAATACTCCCCTTGGGAGTAGTTATAGGGGTTACAAAATCATTCTATTGAAGCATCTATTGCACTTCTCTCTCTAGCTCTCACTTCTCTCTAGATATACTCTATCAGTTGTCTTTGAATATGATCAAGATATTTTTATTCCTAATAATATTCAAAAAACAACTCCAGTTCAAGGCAATGACGAATGTATCCTCAATCAAGTACCTGAAATTATTAATGAGGATCAAACTCAACAACCTCAAGAACCTGAGGTGCCATTAAGGAGATCCACTCGAGAGAGAAGTGCTTGACTCACATAAATTTATCTGACTCTATCTTAATAGCATATGCGATTAAAATAAGCAGAAGTGGCGGAAAAATTGAATGGTTCTGTTCAGTCATGAACTCCCGATTCAACATGTGAATATATTAGGAATGAATTGCATAAACGCAAAATCGCATTACCCTTATTCCATTTAATCGGCAGATCATATGACAAAAGAAATTCCACAAATTCAATTGTTTCGGATCAAATCAAAAGTATGAATACTCCAAATAGTTCAATATGAAGGAGTCTCTGACTCTTTGATACCAATTATTTGAATAAATCCACGAATACTTTAATCTTCATATTGGAATTATCTAGAGAAATAACTGAGCGGAAGCATACATGACTCCATTGGAGATATCTCTAGAGATATGAGAGACGGAGGCTAGGGTTTGCGTCTTCTAGTTGATACACACCCTCGAGAATTATCTCTCTAGCGATGAGATGCAGAAAGACGGAATGATGTGCTCAACTAGGGATCATAAACCTTCTATTTATAGAGAATGTTTAACCCTAATTAGCCCATCATTAATTAGGTTAAGCTCATGAGTTTCTATACATTTGGGGTCTATATCTTATTAGATAACATATCAGCCTACTTAAATTAATATCCACAGGACCACTAATTCTTGGGCCTAAATATAAAATTATATATAACATACAATTAAACCCAATAAATAATATATTGTGAATATTAGATGTACAAGTCCATTAATCTAACATGAAGTACATTTAGTAGAGTCTTGACTTATGATAAAAGATTTGATTGATTATATTAAGTCGAAAACTTTTAGACAATATTGGGGATATATTTTGTGGAAGTTTGCTTTTTATTTAAAAAAAGTTTAATATTCGATGTGCCTTATTTTATTAATTTGGTTAGACTTGAGCTTGAAGTCTTATTATATTGAACTAAATAAATTTGGGATTTTATTTTATTGCTTCACCTCTAAAAAATATTTTTAATTAATTCTTTTCCGGAGGAAAATTATTTTTATTCTCTAATTTTGAGTATAAATTTATAATCACTTTCAAATTTACATTAAGATTCACTAACTTTGAACTAGTTTCTAGATACACAGATATACTCCATATATTCTATTAAAAAAGATATACTCCATATAAATTGTTATCACCATCACTGAATTGAAAATTGTGGAGAAAAATTAACCTTATTAATAGTTTAGTTTTACTATATTTAAAAAAAAAGTTAAACTAGTTTCGCAACCCAATCCGGATTCTAACTTGTAAGCCCAGTTTCCGCTTTTTTTTTAGCCCAGCCGCTAATTCTCTCGTCTCTGTTCACTGAGCAAGCGAGCATCACCTTCGCTTCATTGTTCCCGTAACCCCGTTTCGCTCGCTTTCCAAAATCTGATACGTTCTTCGTTTCGACATTCAAGTCTTTCTTCACTCTAAATCCAATAATGGGCTCTGGTATATTTTTCCTATTTCATTTTCGTTTTCATTGTTACATGGCATGAGTTTGTTTCTTATCTGAATCTGTTTTTTTTTTTTTGGAATTTGATGCCTTATAGTTGCAAAAATCAATCTGCGTGTAATTGCTTTTGTTGGCTTATGCTGTAGATGCCGACATGGAAGATTACGGGTTCGAATACTCCGACGAGGAACCGGAGGAACAGGATGTCGATATTGAGAACCAATACTACAACTCCAAAGGTTTTATTTCTTAAGTTTTTAGTTTGTTTAGCTTCTATTGAAGAATCGTTCAAGTGTTATCAACTTTCATCTGATTACTCTGTCTGTGAGCATGCCTTTCATGCCAGTTTTCATCCTACTCAGGGCCGGTCCTCAGGAAACGAAGGCCCTGTGCAACAAAAATAATTGAGCCTTCTTTTCAAAGTTTCAACACAAGTTAAAAAAACGGAACCGAAACCACACCGACTCAAACGGGACCCGAAAGTCGGGACTCGAACATAAATCGGTTTAATGAAGGTTTTTTGAGTCATAAAATCGGTTCAAACCGAACCGAACCGATTTTTATTAAGAGATACTACCTCCGTCCCTTAAAACATTGCCAAAGTTGACCGACACGGAGAATAATAAAGTAAAAACTGTGTGCTTGAGATTTGTGCAGAGGAGAGAGAAGTAACAGAAACCACAAAATAATTGATTAAAAGGGAAAGTGCCAAAGTTTTTTGGGACGTCCCAAAAAGGAAAGATGACAAAGTTTTAAGGGACATGGAGAGTATTTTTAATTATTTATTTTGTAGAACAAATAGGTAATATAACGATTGTACGTCCTTATTTCAACAATTAGTTGATTCATTCCAGTGGGTTGATGTTTAGAGATCAGCGTGCATGATTTTATTTTCACTTGAGTTCGAATCCCGCATGCCTCAATTCTTATCTTTTTAGTTTCTAAAGCTTAAGATTCCCACACCGATGGAAATGGGGGATTTATTACTCCTTCGTTCCTATATATACGCTCCACCTCTAAGTAATACTAGTATATTACTACAAAAAAATTGGGCCCTTCCAATTTTTTGGGCCCTGTGCGGTTGGACACCTTGCACACCGCCAGGGCCGGCCCTGATCCTACTGTCACATTAATCTGTACCTGGCATATATTCTACTACGTATAACCTTATCAGACCTTGATTGATCTTTGACCAATGAGGGATTGAGGGACCAAAAGAAGCTGGAGATTATAAAATGCATACTGAGCTCATGACTTGTGCTGTTCAAGCTCATGACTTGTGCTGTTCAATCTCATGACTTGTGGTGTTCTTAAGTTCAAACTGATAACTAAAAGAATAAATGGCCTATCTATAAACCATTTTTTACCTGTCCTGTGCATTTGTGTGCTCAACCTTTTTTCCTAACAGTTTTCTTCTTTTTCCCAATTCTAGCATATTTCAAATTTGTTAACACACTCTGCATTTATTCAAAGGTCTGGTCGAATCTGATCCAGAAGCTGCACTTGAGGGGTTTGCTGAAGTAGTTAGGATGGAACCCGAGAAAGCTGACTGGTAAGGAATGCAAATTTGTTAAGGCGATTTGGATGTTCCTGGTTTAGCCCTCATCTGATATTTGTTTTTCAGGAGAGAAAGCCGTATGTTTAAAAGAAGGTTTCTTCCTTTAATTGGGGATTGATCTGAAACATTTAAAAATAGGATTGTAAATCATGTGTAGCTTGAATGTTAACTGGGTTAACCATAGATTTTCAAGTCTTCAAGTTGGAGGTTTAAAACAAACTGGTGGTTGACCGTATTCTGACATTCCTCTCTGTTCTTTTCAGGGGATTTAAAGCTTTAAAGCAAACTGTTAAACTGTACTATAAGCTGGGGAAATATAAAGAAATGATGGATGCTTATAGAGAAATGCTGACCTATATTAAATCAGCGGTGACGCGAAATTACAGTGAGAAGTGCATTAACAATATAATGGATTTTGTCTCTGGATCAGCGAGTCAGAACTTCAGCTTACTTCAAGAGTTTTACCAAACTACACTTAAGGCTCTTGAAGAATCTAAGAATGAGGTCATACTCTAGTTTGATGTTATTAGCTGGTGGCATGTGTCCTAATTTTGGAAATGTTACCCATCAATTGTTTGTCTTGCAGAGGTTGTGGTTCAAGACAAATCTAAAGCTTTGCAAGATTTGGTTTGACATGGGTGAATATGGTCGAATGAGCAAGGTTCTTTCTATTCTGGTTACATTAAGATATTTCCATGTTCTGTTATTCACAACTTGGGATAGTGAATAGAAGTACTTTTTAGATTTTGAAAGAGCTTCACAAATCTTGTCAAAAAGAAGATGGCTCAGATGACCAAAAGAAAGGAACACACCTGCTGGAGGTATATGCAATTGAGATCCAAATGTATACCGAGACTAAGAACAACAAAAAGCTTAAGGTAAATTGTTATTTGTATCTCTACTGGCTCCTCAGTTTGATGAAGAATTTATGCTAGAAGATACCATACCCTTTTTGTAATTTCACTGACTGGATATTGACGTATCCTTTATTTCATACAATCCTTTGCTTCCACCTTCGAGCGCTCATTTTTCGATATTATGGTTTTCCAAAGATTCTATGGATACAGTGTATTTTACACTGCTTCATAGATGGGTAAATGAATTATAACAAGATATTGTTAACTAATGGAGGAGAATAAATGGCATGTTTAAGGGAAATAGTGTGTGTACCATGTTTACACACTTCGGGTTGTCACATCAAAACAGTTTAAGTACTGTTTACTTCTGAGGATTGCTTCCTTGCTTATGTTTGTACCTGTTGTTGACTTGATGCGCAAATGACATACGTTAATATTGTTTGTGTTATATACTCTACACTCATACTCCCTCCGGTCCTTATTAAACTTTACACTTTGACTTCACACATATTAAGGAAATAAATTTGACTTTACTGTAGAATACACTGTTTGACACTATTTGACACTGTTTGGCACTGTTTAGCACTGTTTGGTGTAGATTTGTTTGCCAAATAAGGCAAATAAGGAAGTGTAAAGTTTAATATGGGACGGCCCGAAAAGGAAAGTATAAAGTTAATTAAGGACCGGAGGGAGTACTATGTATTTAGTAACACTCAAGAAGTAATAAATTTTATATTATTGCTATCTACAGGCATGGCCTGAAATATTAGAGCCTTAGAGGCCCTGTTCAAACTTAAATAGGAGGCTCATCACCAACATTAAAATCAACACTAGCCTCCATATTTTCTATTTTCCTTTGTAAAAATAATTTGTGATTCTTCCATAACAAAATTATCTGCAATTCATTTTGAGGTAGTGTTAATAGTCAACTCTTAGTTTCTTTTTTAAAAGTTTTTATTTATACTCCGTATTTTCTAATTCTGGGAGGCATGCTATAATGGAAAAGAATCAAAAGATAATATATAATAAAATAATAAAGAGGCAAAGAGGAGTGAACCCACCCAGCTCTGCTTCATATCAATGTTAAAGGATGAAGGCACAAAAAAGCTCTGCCTGACAGCTTCAGAAAGCAGAACTTAATATATTGGACCAAATCAGAAGCTCGAAGAAGCTCCACACTAGAGTTTATCTTCTACTGACCAAATCTCTAGCAGAGATAGAATCTCCAACTGGCCAAATCACCAGGCCCCTTGTACTGTGTCGATAGTTTAGCAGCTTAATCCTGAAGAATATAGACGAAGCATGACTGCCTCATTGCTTGAATTCCATTAAGTTGTAATGCGTGTTTCGCATAGTCATACTTCAGATTCCCCAGAAGGATCAAGAACTGAACTCCTCGTGAACTGTTCGTACATGTTCCCAGGATGTGTAATTTGGAACTCAGATTTCCGAAAAGTCAGACCGTAGATCAAAGCCCAAGTAAAAATCTAGTTGTTTCTGATGGGCCTAAATGAACTCTGGAGCCCCTCCTTCGAAAGGGAGCCTGTTCACCGGCGCCAACCGCACTTGGGCTGGGCCGTATTTGGCTATCTATGCTCAAGAAAATACTAATGCCACCGTCACAAAAATAGTTACAGACATAAGAAATTTGATAAATTTAGAGAAACCACCAAATGAGGCTTAAAAGTGAAAGTATGATCCATATTTATGACAATTGTGACTTGCTCAAATTAAAGAGATATACTTTAGTCTGTGAAGATAATATTGTGCTACAGTGGCGTATCAGACTCCAGCAGGGGCTATGCACTATCAGAATGTATATAGCCAAGTGGTTGGCTATGGCGCCCATAACAGGCACTTAGCGGGCTGCGGGAAGAATAGCGGGTGTACCGGGCTCTATGGTGTTGTCTTAAGTTATAGGGTTCTTCAATGCTAGTTTTGAGGGGATTCCAGAATAACATTAATTATTTGTTTGTTTTGTTTAAGACACTAATGGATTCTTATTGGTTTATCTATTAAGTATGAGCTTTATGAACTTTGAGACTTTGAGTAATATATACCTTTATCACATACTCCGTATTAGATTTGATATGTGCATACATGTATCTATGTGTTATGCTGATAGGCTTGGGGAACAGCAACAGCCTATTCAATACTTCAATAAGGTGTACAAGAGGAGAAATAAGTAGTATTATTACTTAACTATATAATAGCTAGTTCGGTTGATCCCTGCGTGGACAATGAGCTATAAATAGTAAGTAGAGAACAAAATAAGGCAGGCTGTTATTTTGTCATTGGCTGGTAGCTTGGAGATTGGGCATCTCGAACTGTCCCACCCCTGTACCCCTTTACCGACTTTCTCTCTCTCTCAATAAACTGATTGTGATCTGTTTTAGCTACATTTTTCTTAGAATTGTGATTGTTCTGTGTTCATTACTGCCAGTGTCTTATCATTGGTATCAGAGCAATTGTTCTGGTGATCGGAAAATTCGTAGAAGCATCGCCAGGAAGTTTTTTTTCTCGATCGGAATTGTGAATGGTCCGAACGAGAGGCAAAATGGAAAATCTAAGGGAGGAGATGGAACGTAGCAGAATAGCGACTGAGGAAACGCTGTTACACATGAGAACGATGATGGATAACATGACAGTAAGAATGGATGCTATGAGCGAGGAATTCCGCGCGAGTAGGAGGTCGCGATCTCGCCATCATCATCGTCGACAGACTTCGCACAGCCCTGCGATGTCTAGAGGTAACTCAGTATATTCTAATATCCATAATCATCTTCGTACTGAGGAGCATGTGGTACGTACTGGAAGAAAAATTGATTTACCATTGTTTAATGGAGAGGGAGCTTACAACTAGATAATACGAATGGAGAGATATTTCAGATTGAATCAGATTGTTGAAGAGGAGAAGGTGGAAGCATCTATGGTCGCCATGGAGGACAGAGCTTTGAATTGGTTTCACCTGTGGGAAAATCAGACGGAAGAAACAAGTTGGGAGGTGTTGAAGAAATCTGTTATCCGTAGATTTCAACCGGAATTACTTCAAAATCCGTACGGGCCTATACTCAGTGTGAAACAAACGGGAACTGTGGAGGAATACAGAGCAGAATTCGAAATGGTGATAGCACCACAACAGAATATGGATACAGAGTTATTGAGAGGAATTTTCATATCAGGCCTCAAGCAGGAGATCAAATCTGAGCTGAAACTGTTTGCTTCCAGATCGTTGACTGAAATTATGGATAAGGCCATTCTAATTGAGCAGAAGAATGAGGCCAAATATTTGAAGAGAAAAGAGGAGGATAAATTTTCTGGGAAGGAGAGAGGACCGTTGCCTATGAAAAATCAGAATTGGGGTGAAGGATTCAAGAGCAGATTTGGCAATTCCTGGTCAAATCAGAGAAAAATTGGGGCTGAAGACAAGAATAACAATGCTTGGTTTGATAAAGCTGGACGGAAGATTACTGAAATACATCCCTCTGGCATCAGAAAAGTGGGACCTCAGTTGTCACAAGAAGAATATCAGGAAAGAAGTAGGGACTTTGTTTTAAATGCGGAGAGAAATGGAATAGGGATCATACTTGTAAACTGAAAAACTATAAGTTGATTATGGTAGAAGATTCCACAGAAGAAGAAAATTCTGATGGGGAAGAAAGGGAAATTCCTGTAGAAGAGGAGACTAGCATGGAATCCAAATCAATGCAGTTATCACTCATGAGTAAGGAAGGGATTCCTTCCATGAGAGCTTTCAAGGTGAAGGGTTGCTTGAAATGGGAATTGGGAGAAAAAGAAGTGGACATACTCATTGACAGTGGAGCTACTCACAACTTTATATCTCAAGGGATGGTGAATAAACTCAGGATACCTTACACGGTTACACCACTATTACAGGGTATAAGGTACAGATTGGCAATGGTGACAAACTGGTTAATAATGGGAGGTGTGAAGCATTAACTGTAGATTTACAAGAAGCAGTAATTGAGCAGGATTTTTATATCCTGGATCTCGGGGGTACTGATATGGTGCTTGGGATGGAATGGTTGACCAGCTTAGGAGATGTGGAAGTAAATTTTAAAAAACAGGTGATCAGGTGGCAGGAGCAAGGGAAGAATCAAATAATACAAGGGGATCCACATTTGAATTCTCTGGAGGTATCTTTGAACACCATGACTCAGATTCTAAATGATGCAGGGGATGGGTATTTGATTCTGTGTGAAGGCAAGTCTGTGGAATTTAAAAAAGGGGAAGAAATAGATGAAACTTGGAAGCAGATTTTGGCAGAATTTCCAGAAGTTTGCACACCTTTGAAGACACTTCCTCCCAGCAGATCATGTGACCATGCAAATAATATTCAGCAAGGAGCACAGATCCCAAACATAAGGCCCTACAGGTATCCTCATTACCAGAAAACTGAAATTGAGAAAATCATAAAAGAAATGCTCAATGAAGGTATAATCCAGCACAATAATAGCCCTTATAGTAGCCCTATCTTATTAGCTAAGAAGAAGGATGGGGGTTGGAGGTTCTGTGGTGACTATAGGGCTTTGAACAAGATTACTGTACCTGACAAATTCCCTATACCTATCATTGAAGAACTGCTGGATGAGTTAGGTGGAGCTATGATTTTTTCCAAATTGGACTTGAAATCTGGTTATCACCAGATAAGAATGAAGGAGGAAGATAGGCAAAAGACTGCATTCATAACTCATGAAGGGCATTATGACTACTTGGTAATGCCCTTTGGTTTGACCAATGCACCATCTACTTTCCAAGCACTCATGAATCAAGTCTTAAGGCCTTTCCTCAGAAAATTTGCCCTGGTTTTCTTTGATGACATTCTCATATATAGTAAATCCAGGGAAGAGCATCAAACACATTTGAGGAAGGTATTACTTGCATTGAAGGAGAATCAGTTAGTTATAAACTCAAAAAATGTTCTTTTGGGCAATCTGAACTGGTATACTTGGGTCATATAATATCTGGGAGTGGAGTTGCTGCAGACCCTACCAAGATAGAGGCTATGATTCAGTGGCCACAGCCTAAGGATGTGAAAGGATTGAGGGGATTTCTGGGACTTACTGGCTACTACGGACGGTTTGTAAAAGGGTATGGCAAGATTGCTTTACCTTTAACACAGCTTCTAAAGAAAGACAGTTTCCAGTGGGGGACAGAGGCTACAAAGGCGTTTGAGGAATTAAAGAACAGGATGACCACTCTACCAATTTTGGCAACCCCAGATTTTAACAAGGTCTTCATTGTAGAAACGGATGCTTCTGGTACAGGTCTGGGGGCTGTTTTGATGCAGGAAGGTCGGCCTATTGCATATATGAGTAAGGAATTGTCTAAAAGAAACCAGAACAGGTCAGTCTATGAAAGAGAGTTGATGGCTATTGTTTTGGCAGTCCAAAAATGGAGACCTTACCTGTTAGGGAGAACTTTTGAAGTTCATACAGATCAGAAAAGCTTAAGATTCTTAACAGAACAAAGATTGTTGGGGGAGGAGCAACAAAGATGGACTTCCAAATTACTGGGTTACAATTTCATTATCAAGTATAAACCTGGAGTGGAGAATAGAGCTGCAGATTCTTTGTCCAGAAGACCCTCTCTCAATGCTATTTCCATAGTCACTTCACGGGAATGGGAAGGTTTGGAAGAAGAGTTACTTACAGATCTCAAATGCCAATCAATACTCCAGCAGATCATATCACAGCCAGATCAACATCAGGAGTTTCAGACTATCAAGGGGTTATTATATTACAGAGGGAGACTAGTTTTACCTAGTAAATCTCCTAGAGTTATCAGAATTATGAAGGAATATCATGATTCTGCTATTGGTGGTCACTCGGGATACTTTAGAACAATGAAGAGAATATCTAATTTGTTTTATTGCCATGGAATGAGAAAGGACATAAAGAAGTTTGTGGAGGAATGTCCTACATGTCAAACAAACAAATATCAAGCTCTAAAACCAGCCTGGTTGTTACAACCCCTGCCTATTCCTCAGAATATCTGGACTGACATTTCCATGGATTTTGTGGGAGGGCTGCCAAAATCACATGGAAAAGATACTATCATGGTGGTTGTGGACAGACTGACTAAGTCAGCTCACTTCTTAGCTTTATCACATCCATTTAATGCCAAAGAGGTGGCTGAACTTTTCATCAGAGAGATAGTCAAGTTGCATGGGTTCCCCAAAACTATTGTGAGTGACCGGGATAACATATTTATGAGTGCCTTTTGGTCTGAACTCTTCAAATTAGCTGGAACTAAACTCAAATACAGCACAGCTTATCACCCACAAACAGATGGACAGACAGAAGTGGTCAATAGATGCTTGGAAACCTACCTGAGGTGCATTACTGGCAAGAAACCTAAACATTGGGCTGATTGGTTAGCTTGGGCAGAATTCTGGTATAATACCAACTATCATGCATCCCTGAAAATGACACCCCACAAAGCTCTATATGGCCAGGACCCTCCTACAGTGATTAGAGGGGATGCTAGTATTACAGCTGTTGAAGAAGTTTCCAAAATGACTGCACAAAGGAACATGATGCTTAGAGAATTGAAGGAGAATTTGGAAAGAGCCCAAAATCAAATGAAACAACAGGCAAATAAGCACAGGAGAGAGGTGCTTTTGACAGTGGGAGATATGGTATATTTGAAAATACAACCTTACAAGCTCAGGAGTCTAGCCAGGAGAATCAACCAAAAACTAAGTCCCAGATATTATGGCCCTTTTGAGATAATTGAAAAGATCAGTCCGGTAGCCTTTAAACTTCAATTACCTACAGACAGTAAAGTTCATCCAATATTTCATGTCTCACTTCTGAAGAAAGCTATACCATCTACCACCGCATTTCAGCCCCTACCAGCATGTCTGAGTGATGAATGGGAACTACAGGTGAAACCAGAAGAAGTGCTGGATTCAAGGGTGAACAAGGAAGGAAAGATGGAAGTCCTAGTCCACTGGAAAGACTTACCTCCATTTGAAGATTCATGGGAAGTATTGCAGTCATTGACAGAACAGTTTCCAGATCTTCACCTTGGGGACAGGGTGAAATTCCAGGGGGGAGTAATGATAGGCTTGGGGAACAGCAACAGCCTATTCAATACTTCAATAAGGTGTACAAGAGGAGAAATAAGTAGTATTATTACTTAACTATATAATAGCTAGTTCGGTTGGTCCCTGCGTGGACAATGAGCTATAAATAGTAAGTAGAGAACAAAATAAGGCAGGCTGTTATTTTGTCATTGGCTGGTAGCTTGGAGATTGGGCATCTCGAACTGTCCCACCCCTGTACCCCTTTACCGACTTTCTCTCTCTCTCAATAAACTGATTGTGATCTGTTTTAGCTACATTTTCCTTAGAATTGTGATTGTTCTGTGTTCATTACTGCCAGTGTCTTATCATATGCATAGATATTATCCGAATAGTGGTCATCCCGCTATCCGCTATACCACCTATAGCGTTTTCAGGCTTGGCCATTAATCTCCGCTATCTGGGATTGACAACACTGACATCAATGAAACATGACTCTTTTTTGGACAGATAGTATTTCTTCTGCCTATGGCTCAAATTTCATGTTGAAAATATATTCACTTTTAATGGGATATTTTTCTATACGTCTTAGACATGCATTATTCATAATGTCTATCAAACACCAATATTTGAATATAATCTTTTGCCCTTTCACCTTGTTAGCTCAAGGTCCACTGTGCTTTGGATAGATGTGAACCCCTGTCCAATATAATTAAAATAAATTTCTATTAATGGAACCACAATAGAGATGTAGAATGCTAAAACTCTATGTGCTTATGCTGTTATAATAGACATACATGATACATGTACATTGTCTACCAAAAACTTTTTAATCCCAACTTTCAGTCATATTTTGGTGCTTAATAAACAAACCAAAACATAAGTACATAACACTCCTGCCATTTATTTTTGCTCTAGAATACAAGATACTCATTCAAAACTCTTCTCACATTTTATTGTGAGTGTAGCTTAATTTGAATGCTCAAATTAACCTTTTTGATATGCAATTGAAGATGATTTCATTGTATTTTTCTACATCAGGAATTATATCACAGAGCACTCTCTATCAAGTCAGCAATCCCTCACCCGCGAATTATGGGAATCATTCGTGAATGTGGAGGTAAGATGCATATGGCTGAGAGGCAATGGGCAGATGCAGCTACCGACTTCTTTGAAGCTTTTAAAAACTATGATGAAGCTGGAAACCAGCGGCGTATCCAATGTCTAAAGTATGCTATGTTTGTAGTTTAGCCTCTTCTTTTGATCGACTTGACATGCTTCACTCACAAAGACACACATTCTCCTTTCTTGTGTGCAAACAGATAATGTTTAACATGAGTAAACAAACATTGAATGTCTTCTCACATGGTATTTTGCTCATGCTGATTCAACAGATACTTGGTTTTGGCTAATATGCTGATGCAATCTGAGGTCAACCCTTTTGATGGGCAAGAAGCAAAACCGTATGTGTTTTGCCTCTTTGTTGTAACCCTCTTGAGATCTACTATGAATATTATCAATGTGGCTAAACCCTGTGAGAAATGTTCTTCCAGATATAAAAATGATCCTGAGATTTTGGCAATGACAAACTTGATTGCGGCGTATCAACGAAATGAGATTCTGGAGTTTGAAAAAATTCTCAAGGTATATGTTACTAAAAAACCTGTTATTCTTTTTTTCCCTGACATCCATTTTGATCCTTCTGTTAATTTCCTCAGAGTAATAGAAGGACAATAATGGATGATCCCTTCATAAGAAATTACATTGAAGATCTTTTGAGGAATGTGAGGACTCAAGTGTTGCTCAAACTCATCAAGCCATACACAAGAATTCGGATCCCTTTCATATCCAAGGTTGAAGAAATAAGGGCATTCCATTTTTGGTGTTCCTTTTAGGTCATCTATATTGACTCTACTATTACTATAGATTCTATTTTTTTCTTGTGCAGGAACTTAATGTACCTGAAAAGGATGTGGAGGAGTTGTTGGTGTCACTAATATTGGACAATCGTATACAAGGGCACATTGACCAGGTCAACCGACTCCTTGAACGCGGTGACATGTATGTCTCATTCTCCTTCTTGCCCTTGTGTGTTTTGTCGGATATCGGTGTTTCCACTGTATATGTTTCATATATCATTTAATTTAAAAATGTGGATGCAGGTCAAAGGGAATGAAGAAATACACTGCAGTTGACAAGTGGAACACACAGCTCAGATCCCTCTATCAGACTGTTAGTAACAGAGTGTGCTGACTGCTGACTTTCTCTAGAAAAGGCCCATCTTCTTGGACAAACATTATGGCTATATCTTTTTTCTTTTGAATACAAGAGGAATATATGTTTTTTGCACTGATGATGTTTATGCACAGTAGAAAATGTTTATGGACTGTAGAAATTAGTTGTGTCTGGTCTGAGGAATTAGTATATTTGACTGATTATTAAATAATGATTTTCACTGTATCTGATATTTATTTTTGTTGAGTATATAATCTACATGCATCGTAGAATCATAGATCATTTTCAAGTTGCAAAGTACAATACTTTGAATATATTTCTGATTCTTTTAATTTTTTTTTGACTGGAGATTCTTCTTTTAATTAGACCAGGCAAAAACATTTAAACCAGATTAGAAAAGATTCTAATGAGAACATAAATATCCGGTTAAAATAGAAATGTTCGTAGAGTTGGAAACATTACTTCTTGTAAAAATGGCAGGCCAGATCATATTATTCAGACAAAGAGAATATAATCTAGATTTTCCAACTGACCACAACACTCTTTCAGTTCCACAACTCCCAACCAACCCAGGATGTGATGTTTGAATAATAGTATAATACTAGGAAGTGTAATGGTCAGGAAGTTATCTCTAATCAAATCAAAGGGGAGTTGCGCATTATCTTGCATTTCTAAAATTGTTTTTAGCCAAAATCATATTCCCAGCTGATATGTGAAAGTGACTTTATTTCATTGCCTCAGAACCCCTTTGATATGCAATTGAACTTAGGAGGTAGAGCTCTACATGGTATGTATCCATTTCCAGTCGGACATGGATTAATTCTTTGGGACTGACTTGAATATTGTTGTTGTAGTAGTAGGGGAATTCGCATTTAAAAATGTTTTTACAAAAATGTGCACTATTTTAGATTGGAAATGATACATAGTTGATCAAAATATCAAGAAATTTGATAGGATCTCCAAATATCCAGAAATTACAGAAATTAATATCAATGGACAAGGTAATCTTTATTGAAGAAGATGAACAGTAATCTGTACAAAGGCCAAAGCCCTCAAAGCCGAAACCCCCAAAAGATAGAGATGTTTAGTCTCCGATCTTTCCCAGTCCCAAGAGTCAAGACTAATCGTCTAAGAGCCTCCTTACTACTTCCCCTTCCCATCTATTTATACTAGAGACCCTTATCACTATTATTATTATTATTATTACTTCTAATATTATTCTAATAAGTAGGTCTCTATCAATACTCCCCCCTAAACATCCACCTTGCCCTCAAGGTGGTCGGTAGGAGACAGCCCAAATCTTTTGCTTCTTCTTCTTCTTCTTCCTTGCACCTCTTCATTCCCAATATCTTTCCAATGTCAGGATCCTTAACTTCATGACTTGAATCTTCCTTCTCACTGCTTCTTGCAAAAACAGCATTAGCTCCTCTTTCTTCCAATCATCAATATTAGGCCTGTGTCTTTGATCATGCTGGTATTGATCTTCACCCCCATCCCTTGCTCATTCTTTCATGTGCTAATAGCTCTTGCTACTTGATATAACTCAAATCTTTGAGTTTCAGTTGCTTCACTCCTTGAAATTTCAGCATCTTCAGTAGCCAACTTATTTGAGAAGGAAAACCTCAAAGGTTTTAGCAGGTAGGTGAGGATATCCACTATTCCAGTTGCATTTCTCCTAACTGAAGGACAGGAAAGCCTATTATCCATGCAAAACTTCCAAAGTAGGTTTTCTTGCAGATAGACATATTCTTCATCAGAAGAAAACAATTCACTTTTCCAGCCTTGTTTCAGTTTCACCTGTCCATTTGCTACAGCCTCCCATCTATTAACAGTAGCCTGATTAGTAGGATCCCGGGCCATACTGATTTGATCCAACTGATATTCAAAAATATCAACAACGTACTTCCCCATCCCTTTCAAAAAAAACCATGGTGCTCAACACCTTGTCCTCTTTCCAGTTCATACCTCTTTTCATGAGAATTTTGTGTCTTGTATCAATACTTGCCCTAATAAACTTGTAATCAAAACCTACACTTCTATCTTGAACAGGTATACAATCTACTGGCAGTCCCCTAACCACTTCACTAACAATTTCCACACCCGTCACATATCCCTCACATTCTGTAACATTCCCAGAAATCTCTCCTTCCAACCCCTTTTTATTACCCATCATAGAAGTAATACCCTCATATCTGAAACTATCAAACTTGTTCAATGATTTCAGCCCTTCCAAAAAATTATTTAATGGATGACAGTATATCATTTCAGATTTTAAAAGATTCAGCCCGTTCATCTCCGGAACGAAACTAGACTTGTCAGCATCATGAATCTGTTTGGGATTTCCAAAAATGATAGCAGATTCTCCCGAAACAAGCCCAACCTCCTCCTCAGAGTCTGATTCCGTAACTGAAGGGACCACCAGGTTTAATTTTGTGTTCATTCTTGTTGGTGGGGTCCCCTGAAATTCTTTTTCTGATGCGCCTATGTCAAAAGTTCTTGAAGCTGATGAACCTTGCGAACGGTGTGGAACCACAAGCGATGATGATCTGTGTGCTGACGAGCGGTGAGAGTCCGCAAGTGAAGAAGCATGTGAACTAATAGAATAGCTCAGCGACGAAGATGAATATTCTTCTCTTACTCACGTCTTTCTTGGAAGTGAATCGATGGCTGGTGAGGAAGTCTGCGATCTGAAAGAAACTGTTCGCGACTGTGAACAATGACAAGAAGTTCGCGATTGCGAGTCAAGAGAAGTAGTTCGCGACTCAGCCTTCGAACTTGTGAGCGACTGCGACGAACGATGTCTAGGGCTCCTCGCTCGAAGTTCGCTGTTGCCATGCTCTCCGTGGTCGGAATTTCTTGGTTGTCCCTTGTGCGAAGTATTGTGCGACCTATGCGAAGGGTGAGAATGGTGCGATGTATGTCGCGAACGACTTTGAAGTCGGTTCTGCAATTCTGCGACGCTAGCTTGTATCTCCGCTTGCATCACGGCCATATTAGCCGCTATATTCGCCATCCTAGCTTGCATTTCAAGCTGTTTCCTCTCCACTTCATTGAGTCGTCCCTCCATTTTCACGCGTATCTCAGCGATCGACGGCTCTGATACCAATGATAGGATCTCCAAATATCCAGAAATTACAGAAATTACAGAATTTAATATCAATGGACAAGGTAATCTTTATTGAAGAAGATGAACAGTAATCTGTACAAAGGCCAAAGCCCTCAAAGCCGAAGCCCCCAAAAGATAGAGATGTTTAGTCTCCGATCTTTCCCAGTCCTAAGAGTCAAGACTAATCGTCTAAGAGCCTCCTTACTACTTCCCCTTCCCATCTATTTATACTAGAGACCCTTATTACTAATATTATTATTATTACTTCTAATATTATTCTAATAAGTAGGTCTCTATCAAAATTACTCCGTATGATTGAATTTTTCTATATGGAAATCAGGAAATGCAGCTATAACAGTATATAAGAATACTCATGAACTTAAAATTTACATTATAAAGAGTAGTAGGAATTCTATCAAATATTCGCAAGGTAAACAATCAACCACCACCATAGAGCAGTAACACCATAAGATGAGCGCCCATCATGAAACCGTCACCGGCTAGTCATAACGCCTTGCTTGTATCACTTGCAGCAAAGTAAAATGTAAAGACTTCAATAAAAGAACAACACAAGGTACACAAGCAGAAATCGGAAAGCATAAAATAGCCGCATATCTGAAGTTCAAAACATTGCCAAAACCTTGTTAAGAGGTATGGAGTAGAAAATAAGCATTGCCAAAACCTTGTTAAGGAAGACATTCGTGCGCGCTTTATGTCGCGTCCGCTCTCCGTTGGTGCCGAAACATGGACACATCTCACCTCTGGGATACCATAGGAGCCAGGTCAAGTCCGTCTTCAGTGAATTTGAAAGCCTTAGTCTAAAGCACCACAAAAATTAAAAACAAAAATAATAAATAAAATAGTTACATTGGTCTGACTAATGATCATTAATGATTCAATATTATTATATATGGAACAACTTTTATATGTTTGAAATTTCTGTTTCTTTCAATATAAAACTTTATCTATTTGTTTGTAGTTTTAATAAAATGGATTTTCTAACAATGAGCACATGATCAAGAATATATAATACTACGTACAATATTCTCTACTTTGAAGTTTCAAGAAAGATTCCAAGAAAAAATAAATATCATTTTTGGACATGTAGAATATTTAATAATCAATAATAATAGCTTTAATCCATTATAAACACCCTAATGCTAGTTCGAGTGGTTGCTTAAGCTATGTTTTTTCTCATGTGTGGGAAGCAGTTTCTTAATTGCTGACGGTCTAAAGGTGTTGACTAATCAATGATGTTTCTCTCATGATTGTTGGGTGTGTTTCGGAAAATAAAGAAAATTAATTAAAATAAATTAATTAAATAAAATGACTAGAGGAAAACAAGAAAGGAGATGAAGCAGAATTAGCCAAAGCTCGTGCTACGCACGATTTCCTTAAAACGTATTTGTTGCCTCCCACGGTGCTAGGAGCGTTGCAACAATCGTTTCCCAGGATACGATGACTACGAACTAGTGTTTGAGCACACAAACAAGAGTTCCAGCGAACGAGAACCAAGTATGAACACGGAAGGAATTTTGGGAGTAGCTGGAAGAGTTTTTAGCTCAAGAAAACGTGAGGAAAGTGTTGTGCGTTGTCAAACCGTGTGTTTGTTGCAAAGCACCTGCCAGCTATTTATAGGAGGATTTGTTGTGTGTTAAATGAGGTGTTAATGGACCTGAACGTTGGACATCAATGACCAGTCCGTTGGGCATTGAATCGTCCATAAACTGTCCATTTAACGCAGCATTAAAAGAGAAGAACGTTGGGCATTAATAGTTGTAACGGAAGAAATGCGTGACAGAAGACCCCTTGGAGGGGTTCTGTCCGTAGCCAACAGAACTCCCCTTGGAGGGTTTCTGTTCGAGGCCTTCTGTCCGAAGCCAACAGAACTCCCCTTGGAGGGTTTCTGTTCGAGATAGCTAACCGTATCTCTTGAGAAATAGATTTTTGGACGGCATTCGTGTCCGCAGGTCGCCCGCGCACACGAGTCGCGGTTTTTCTTCTCCGTTTCGGGATTTGATCGGCACCCCCCCCCCCCTGCGCGTAAGAGAGAGCCTTTCCCTTTAGGAATCTTAACTCCTTAAAAGAGGCTTCCCTTTAAAAGGGGGTGAAAATCCCTTGAGTTTTTCGGTGTGGGATAAAACACACTAGAAACTCATCATTTTCCCAGTTTTTC